GTATAAAATATTATATCTATATATATATATATATATATATATATACATAATATTAGATTTTCATATATATAAATATACTTAAATATCTCTATAAATCTATATATATATACATATATATTAGATTTTATTTATATCAATATACTTAAATATCTCTATATATATTAATATATATATATATATATAAGTATATGTATATGTACATAAATATATATATATATTTATAAATATATAAATTCTAAATATAAATATATATAATATTATATTTTTATATATATGAATATACCTCAATATCTATATATATATATATATATATATATGTATATATATACATATATATATATATATATACAATATTATATTTTTATATATATAAATATACTTAAATATCTTTATATATATATATATATATATATATATATTTACATATTTTTGTATAAATACTTTATATATAATTGTATTATATATATATATATATTAAATATTTATATATATATATATATATTAAATATTTAAATATATATATATATATATTAAATATTTATATATATATGTATGTATGTATGTCGGCATGTATGTATATACATGTACATGTACATCTGTCCATATGTACATGAATATTTACAAATATATATATATATATACGTATATATGTACATGTATATATGTTCATACTTATATATATATCTATATATATTTATAGATATATAGTATTAGACTTTTATTTATATAAATATACTTAATTATCTCCATATATATTAATATATAGATATATATCTATATATATAGATATACATATATACAATATTATAATTTTATATATATATATGTGTGTATATATATAAATATATATACATAGATATATATATGTGTGTATATATAAATATATATACATAGATATATATATATATATATATATATATTTATAAATAGTAATATAATTGTATTATATATATATATATATATATAATATTATATCTATATATATTTTAATATACTTAAATATCTTTATTTAAATATATTTATATATATATCTATATATATGTACAAATATGTATGTATGTCGGCAGGTATGTATTTATGTATGTACATGTACATATGTCCATATGTACATGAATATTTACATATATATATATACGTATATATGTACCTGTATATATGTTCATACTGATATATATATATATACATATATTTGTATTTGTTATTTTTTTATATATATATTTTTTATAATCATACATTTATATTATATATATGTATATGTATATATAAATGTATAAATTATTTCATAACTTTCAATTGCAGGCTGTGCTCGTTTTGCTCAAAAAATGACAACTCATCTCTGTATTCTTGTATGCGATGTCCATGTCCAAGCATGTGTGCATGTTCCGTTAGGCGTGGATTTAAATGGAGCAATATATGAGCATTTGGTTGAAATAAAGTTCATTGCACTATTTGTATGAATACAACTGTGCTATTACGCGTATATGAGTTCATTGATCTTCACAATATACATTCTAGTATAAACAATATTTACAATAAAATAGTCATAAAAAAGCACATGTATACAGCCGCACCTCCGTACGTATCTTCTTCCCCTCTCTACATATACAAACGTGTACACACCACACACACAACCGTGTATACATACACTGTATATATATATATATATATATATACATTATTATATATATATCTATATTACCCCACGCGGTGTTACTCTTGCATTCTTAAGTCTGTGTGTAGTTGCGTATATGTAGATACAGTGTTAGCTGGGATTTTTTTTTGATACATTGCGATATGCACCTGGCCATATCCCAAGTACTGCATTGCCCTGAGATAGAAATGATCATGCACATGGGATAGAATTTTGTTTGATGTCAGCTGTATATAATATTTCATTTAGTGGCGGTCAACATACGCGGACAAATATGATATGCGAGCTAATGCCATGTTTCCTCCTCCTTTTGTAGACACTGGACTGGTGTTTCGACTTGGGTATCAGGTGCGTGACCGTGTACGCGTTCAGTATAGAGAACTTTAACCGGCCACAGGAAGAGGTGGATGATCTCATGGATCTTGCAAAGAGAAAGTTTCTTGAACTGGCGGACAATGAATCCACGCTGCACAAGAACAAAATGAGTATACGTATACTTGGGGACCTGAGTTTACTTCGACCGGATGTACTCGAGGTATTGATGCGGGTAGTCGAGGATACGAAGATGAATACCGACTATATCTTGAATGTGTGTTTTCCGTACACTTCTCAAGAAGAAATGGCCACCGCGGCGCGAAGGATAGCGGGCGAAGTGGAGGCGGGAGATATCAGTATAAGGTGAGCTATTGTTCGGCATTAGTATTTTCTCAGTGAGTGCTATTCAGCGGCTGAGTATGTAAACAGGATGACGAACAGTATTCACTGGCTTAGTGTCTTCGTCAGCTAAAGTTACTATACCTTGTTGCTGTGTGCTGCCTGTCAGATTCAGCGGAGATTAAGTCTGCTTCAGTGTGGAACTCAGCTAAAGTATTGCATTTGACGGAGCATACGGTCTATCAGTGCCCAGTATCAGGCTTTGCAACTCCCATGTGTATTTTTGAGAGAGCAATTGTTCCTATTTTGACGTGTTTGTTGTCAGCATCAAATCATACATTGTTTGGCGTCGTTATTATCATCCAAGGGCTCAGATTGTTGGTATTGCTACAGTCAACCTGCAGGGTTCGCTAGCACTGTTATGCGCTGACGGTGCGCACTCAGGATTGGCACGCGCTCCTTTCTACATCCAAATGCAAATACACTCACACATACTACCCTGAGGTGTGTACAGATGTGCACATATCACTGATACTCTCCTTGAGTCTCATGTAGCTTGCTGCGTCTCCAATTGAGACATGTGACGTGCCGCACTCGTCTAATCAATTTATTGTATCTCTAACATAGGTCTATAGATGAACAGTGCTTTGCGGATCACTTGTACACAGCTGGGTGCGGCGAAGTTGATGTCCTCGTACGCACGTCGGGTGAAATTCGACTGAGCGACTTCTTGCTGTGGCAATCGTCGTTCAGTCTCCTTTCGTACCGGGAGGTGCTGTGGCCGGATTTCTCGGTCTACGAATTCATCAGTGTCATTCTAGACTACCAACAAAGCCAAGCGGCGCTCATGGTAAGTTGCAAGTGTTTATCAGGTTATGTTTTCTGAGATATGTACCTGCATATTCACAACTGTGTCTCTGTTAACGCATGGATGTGTTGAGTAGAACCCATCCAGCGCATGGCTATATCGGTTCAGGTTGTGCCCTTTTGCCATCGCATTTCTGATCGAGAACCTCTCTGTGTGCGCGCAGGTTAATATGCACACTCAACTTGCCTATAGAAACTCGATATCAAGACACGAGCAAATCCGCAAAACTCGAGGGATTGGCATCAAACTCATGACTATCTATTCTGTTCGTTTGCAGTCAATTAAAGACAACTATGAGGTTGCTAGGGCTCGTGGCAAAGCCCAATTAGACGCCGAGTACACCAGACTTCAGGCGAGGAAGAGCTTCTCTACGAATTTCGTTCCGGATGACACAATGCTAGTGGAACGGTGTCGGTGATTTCGTTCATTAAAATTTAGTTGAAGTTGAACTGATTCATAAACTTGAAAAAACTGCGTGGGCTAATCATTGCAGAGCTTTCACGTCCACCCAAATTGATCTTTAGAGAGTGCCACTTAGTACTTCTCTTTGCCGACCATACTCTTAAGCTAGATCATCGGGATGTTGTGTATGATAGGTTGCAAACCTTACAATATATATATGTATATATATATATATATATATATGTATATATATATATGCGTGTATATATGTATATATGTATATGTACATAAATATTTTTATAGATATATATATATACCATATATATTTATTTATATATATATATATATTTACATGTATGTATGTATGTATTTATATATATAAATGTATATATATATTTATATGTATATGTATGTATATATATATATGTATATATATATATATATATACATACAAATATATATATATATATGCATACACATACATGCCTACATATATATGATATATATGTGTGTACGTATGTATATATGTATGATTGTAAGTATGTATGCATGTACGTATGTATGAATGGATGTATGTATATATGTATCAATGTATGTGTGTATGTGAGCATGTATGTATTTATGTATGTATGTATATATATATATATATATATACGTATATCTGTAATTATATGCATATAATATATATATATATATATACATTTATATATATATATACTATCCATATATT